GAATCGCAAAAACAACTTTGCTATTAACACAAACACTATGAAAAACAAAATAATTTGTTGCTGGCGATAATGATAGTGGTATTTTTGACTCGATTTAAAATATAACACACGCGAAACTAATTTTAAGCGTTATAAAAAGAGAAAAAAAAAAAAAAATACCCCAGAAGAAATCCTATATTAGATATCTAAAATTATACATAACAATCTAGTGGTGAATGAATTCTCAAAGTTGGTCAAGTATTTTACTTTGATAGTAGCGCCCTTTATGTTAAATTCATCCTACGTTTTTAAGCACCATAACAAAAAACGATTCAACATAGCCTAACCCGCACGCACAGTAAAAACATAACCATCCTTTTTCGTCTGTAGTCGGATAAACAACTGGTTGATAACGGTTGCATCGGCGCTTTATATATCCATTGTCAACGGTCCTTTTAAATATATATCGTAACATCATAATGATTATCGAAAAATTATATTAGCATTGTAATAATGACACCATAAGTAATCGATCAAAAAGGGGAATCGATTTTTTAATGAGATTTGTGATTGGCAACACTTTTTATTTTATTCACAAACTAATGAATTAATGATTTACCTAATTTTATTCTTATCTTTTCGGTACTTTTAATTTGTGAAAAAATATTCCCATCTTTTTAGGATAAATGAATACCGCGATTAATAACCATAAATAAAGATATATTTTTTAACAAATGCACATTGTTGGGCGTTCCATGGCCGAAAATGGGCATCGCCCTTTGTTTTTCTGGCAATCTATGCATTCTCTGGCCCATTATCGGCAATATTTCTTTGCACCAGGCCCGATTAATCTCTCAGTCACTAATTTAACTAAAAATTGACCTTCTGTAGGTCGGCTGTGATAATTGGACGTGAATGCACTGTAGAAATGTCACAGTATATGGGCTTCGATAATTCCTCAATATGCGACAGAGCGCCTGCGACAATGTTATCCTGGCCTTTTATGTACCGAATATCTGTAGTGAATTGAGAGATATAGTCCAGGTAACGGAATTATTTATGTGAGCATTTCCCGCGGTTGTATGAGAAGACACATGTAAGCGGTTTGTGGTCTGTAAATACTGTGAATGATCTACCTTCGACCATATGTTTGAAATGTCGGATAGCGTCGTAAATGGCTAGAAGTTCACGGTCGTACGGACTATATTTCTTTTGCGCAGATGTTAAATACCGTGAGAAAAACGCCAGAGGTTTCCAGATTTTGTTACCACATTGTTGCTGGAGTGCTGCGCCAATCGATGTATTAGATGCGTCAGTAAAAACAACCAAGTTGGCATTAGGCTCTGGATGTGAGAGCATAGTAGCCTTTGACAGACTCGAAATGCAATAGTACTTACTTCCCTTGGTTTTAGGACCAGTTAAGACGGTATTCAGTGGCGCCTGCAGTTCTGCTGCTCTGGGTACGAAATCGGTAAAATCCAAGAACCTCCGCATTTCTCGAACTATTTTTGGAACTGGGTAGTCCTATATCGCCTGAACTTTGTTTGGACGAGGATGAATGCAGACAGCTGATACGTCGTGTCCAAGGAAGGTAGTGTGTGACCACTACTTCCAACACTACTACTTCCAACACCACTATCCCAGGTAAGACACACCATCGACGATAATACGACACGTGTTTCGCACCTGACATCACCTGAGGATGCCTCGTGTAAAGGCGAAATACGTGTCGTATTATCGTCGATGGTGTGTCTTACCTGGAATAGTGGTGTTGGGAGTAGTGGTGTCGGGAGTAGTGGTGACGGAGTTAGTGCATGCAATTGAGGGAGGGCGGGAGGTGCTCTTCAATCCAGGTAAGACACATCATTGTATTTAGTTAGCGGAAGGTTGCGAAGTAATGTATATTTTTATGATAATGGATTTCCGCAAAGTAACGCCTGATTCTATCAATTATCTGCGTTTCTCAGTCCAAATGTCATGAAATTAAATTCAAATAACCCTAATGATGTAGTTATCGCGGTTTTAGGTATATCGTTAGGATTTACCGTTAGCTAAAAGCTTTAACCTAATCTATTTTGGAATACATCGTTGTACCAGCATGTGAGAAGTCCTGAAGGTGTCGGATAGGGTATTTATCCGGAAAGGTACGGGCGTTAAGAGCGTGGGTGCGAGATCGAGAACTGATGACCATGTGCTTTTAGATCTGCGAGCGGTACCATTAGCATATCCTCGAACTCCTTCATAGAATTTTTTAGACGATCTGGTGGTAAGGGTCTAGGACGGCTTGTAACAGGAGGACCAGGTGTCGTACGGATATGGTGCGAATTACTGTGCTTTATTATACGCTGAGTTCCAGCAGAGCGAGTAGTATCAGGGTACCGATAGATTGGTGGTAGATAGTGTCCCCAGACACAGCCTTAACTGATGCGATGCCATTTGCTTGGGCCGCAGATGTTGCTGCTGTAAACAGATTCGTTAGGCCGTCGATCAAGCGGCGGTTCCGCAAATCTACAAGCAAATTATAAAATTTGAGAAAATCAACACCAATAATTGCCTTTGAAACGACGGTGACAAGAAATCTCCAGGTATAGGCACGGCGTAGATCAATGTTGAGGTGCAGATGGATGTACCCACCCGTACGTTGCAATTGGAGTGTCATTTGCATCATATAGCTGGTATTTTATCTTCCAGCGGGTCTGTTTGACACGCAAAGATCAGAGCCTGTATAAACAAGAAAAGACACTTTAGTAATGCATTCGATAATAAATAAGGGGTTTGGTCTGTCAGGGTAGTAGCTAGTCGCTAATTCAGGCTGCCTGTAGCGTTTTTCGAAGATACGTAAATTTGCACGGAACGGTACACTTTGTTGCATGACTTCCAAACCGGTTGTGATACCAGCAAATGTCATTGTTGCGTTGTCTAGTGCTAAACCTACTTTATATAAATAAATATATATCTTATCTAAAAAGGTACCATAGTACGGTATTGGTAAGCCAACACCAGGGAAGAGCAAAATCGGAAGAAAAAGTATGAAAATACATATCATGAAATATATTTTTTTACTTTTAACACAAAATGGGTCTACCGAAAATATTATATCATAATAATACGTAACCAGAAGATTGAATCCAAAAACTTAATTGAAAATTTTCAATATACGTTTTCAATACAGAGTGAACAAAATTACAAATGAATAAAAAATGTTAAATCAATTTATTCGTAGGCCATTATATTATTATTTTCCACCGTATTTGATCGCATATATTTAGCTTGTCATTATACCAAGGACAATTTTAAAAGCGACAATATTTCTCTGTTTACCGGTATCAGTAAAATTTTGTCTCATCCCTAGTACACATACTGTTGTTTTTACACATTAATATTATTTTATTTTTGACTCTAATATTCATCATCATCATCATTACAGCCCTTCACAAGTCCACTGCTGAACATAGGCCTCCCCCAAGTAATGCCATAAAGCACGGTCCTGAGCCACCTGCATCCACCGACTTCCTGCATGTCTTACCAGGTCGTCACTCCATCTAGTAGCTTCCCGCCACTTCAGCTTACTAATCCGTTGGGCTATGTCGGTTACTCTGGTTTTACTGCGGATATCCTCATTTCTGAGTCTATCACGCAGAGAAACTCCGAGCATAGCCCTCTCCATAGCTCGCTGAGCGACCTCGAGCGTCTTCATACGGCCAGCAGTGAAGGACCACGTCTCAGATCCGTAAGTCATCACTGGCAACACGCACTGGTTGTACACTTTAGTTTTCAGAGATTGAGGTATACCTGACAAAATATAAATAGATTCTCCTTACTGGTTAAAGGATATACCACTTTTATTCAAATTTAAATTAAAGCTGTTTTAACGACACGTATTTATTGCATGAATTGGCGTTTTTGAAATAAATTGCACCCAGCAACGGTTGACACAAAAATTGGGTAACGAATGTGAAGTCAAAAGAGATGTGCTGACATTTGTCGGAATAGCACATCTCTTTTGACTTCACATTCAATGATAAACCAGGTTATAAAAAGATGTAAAGAGAAACATACAATTATTACAGTACAAAGTAAACATGCGACATTCGGGGGACAAAATGTTACTAAATTCGAAACATTTCTGCTTATCAGGAAATAAAGGATCTCAATAGAAATGTAGTTGACAAGGAACAACATGCCAATAAATACATTACACTTATAAATATCCTCAAAAACTTAAATTATATTTTTTATCTCGATTATTAATATAAATATAAAGTATTTTAAAAATCCATTCGATTACGAATTTTTTTTTCCAAGCAAATACTATTTATTTCAAGACTGCTTGAGTTGAACTAAGTATTTCATGTGTGTGCTTATTTTTCTGAGCATTACGATTTCTGGAATTAAATACCAGTGTTTCACATTTTCACCAAATAATAAAATTAACGGTTTGTTTACACAAGGAACAGTTTATGATTTCGCGAAGATGTAAGCTTCAACAGAACCTAGAACCCGCGATGTAAAAGCCACCTCTATTCTCAATCTCAAAGGTGCGGTAGATCTGGTACTACGATCGCCAATACGGCCAATCCTCCTTAAATATAGTCTGTTCGCTTAGATACGGTTGCCTTTGTGTTGCGCCGCCTTGGCACGTGCCGCATCTTATTAAAGGCGCCGCCGCGACGTTAAGGGTTTTTGGAATTTGGGATTTTAAAACGAAGCACCGTAGTGAAGGGTTCTTTTCTTTATTATTCTTATTTTTCTTTTTTTACTATTTAACTTGTGTTTATTATTTATATTCGTATTTTATTACAATAACCATAAGAATAATACAGAATTTTATTTTTAGAATGAAAAACATTTATTTAACAAATAAATAAAAAATAATAAAATGAAAGTAAAATAATAAGTGCGCCCCCGGGTGTAACTTAGTGAACAGCCTATATGAGAGAGACTATATCCTGCAGCGGTAGACTGTTTAGGGGCTGATGATAATTATGATAAAAATGCTAAAAATACTTTGTTTTATTCAGGTGCTTCTGGTAACAGCTGATGGGTCCATCGATTGCCTTCAGAAACCAGATGCTCAAGAAGAAGTGACCTCACCGCTCCACTACTGTGAGATCGTGACGGCACTGCAAACGCTCAGTCCTGGTATAGAACCGACACTATTATTCTTCCTTCTCTTCTTCCTATTCTATTCATGACGCAGACTGCAACTATGAACTGTATGCTGCGGGCTTACAAGACATCCTTCTTACTCTATGGAAAATAACAACTATCAATCATGTTTTGATATTGAATGAACAATTACATGAACTGGTCAAATTTGATGCAAATGTTGTGCAGGGAGTGATTACTTAGGTAAGCCTAACTTAATAGAGTCTATAGTTATAGTTGTGATTTGCAACGGGCTATTTTTCGCAAAGTGCGTATTTCGCGTATGACCCATTCAAAATCCACAAAGTTCAACAAACCCTTGATGTTACTGACAATCTCGGCATGCCAAATATGTGGCGACTTGCGGATAAATGAGCAGAATAAAGGGCCCTTTTGCTTCTTCCCTCGTGCATGTCTAGCTTTGTAAATTCCGCGCGTACCATCTTGACCGGGCTGAAGTTAGTTCCGAGTGGCTGTGCACATACAATTTTTAAGAAAAAAAAAATGGTGACAAGCGGAGTGGTAGGGTGGTAACTAAAACTGGAGATGCGAATACGCATATTGCATGCTTACAATTACATATATAATGGATTATCGTTGTTATCGATTATGATCCGATTTTTTTTTATTCATTGGTGTGTAATTACACCATGTCGTTATAATTAAAAAAGTAGCGCCAGCATCGTCGGAAGCTGGTGCAATTACGAGTACAGAAGCTAGTAAACTTTCGACTACACGTAAAAAAAAAAGGAAACCAAAATTAGGAATTGACGATTTTATGATTTGCGCTATAAGAAATATAATAATCAGCTTTTATACGTGAAAAAAGAAAAACCTACATTGCGAAAAATTCTAGCCGCTGCAAAGGCGGAATTAAATTTTTCTGACCAAAAAACCATCTTGTGGAAAATATTAAAGGACAACTAGGCTATAAGTTCAAAAAATGTAAAAAGGTTCGCGATTTTTTGATACAGAAACCAGAAATTGCTGCCTGGAAAGCAAGTTATTTACGACGACTGCGGAAAATTGATGAACTCGGAGCCGATAAAAAACGGTGTTTTACTTAGATGAAACTTGGATACATAGTCACTGTGCATCGTGGCAAAATGTTGGCAAAATTCTACTGATGCAAATGTAAAAAAAAAAACTATAATTCTGGGCAGCGCTGGATAATTGTGCATGCTGGAGGTGACAATGGCTTTATCCAAAACGCAGAGCTATTGTATAAATGCAAAAGTTAAAGTGCAGATTACCACGATGAAATGGATAACATAAATTTTACCAAATAGTTAAACTAGAAACTCTTGCCAAATCTGCCGGCTAATTCGATTATTGTTCTTGACAATGCACCATACCATAGTAAACAGATTGACAGACTGCCGAACTCAAATTCCTTAAAAGAAACTATGCAAAATTGGTTACGCGAAAGGAACTTCTTGACTTCCAAGAACATCTTACAGAACCTGAGCTGTACCGCCTTATTAAACGGATCGCGCCACCTAAAAAATATGGGATAGATGAAGTAATTAAAAGTTATTGTCATGAAGTATTGCGGCTACCTCCGTATCAATGTGATTTAAACTCAATAGTGTACACTTGGAATATAATGAAACAGCGAGTGGCCAAAAAAACTTCAAAAAAAGAAATTGAAAAGCTAACACGCGTTTCTACAAGAAGTATATCTGCAGATGATTGGAAGAGAGAAAACAACCATGTTGATAGATTAACACAGCAATATTGGGAAAGTGATCGACTCCAAGAATTAAATGAGAGAGAACTCATAATTTCAGTGGGGTAGATTCAGAGAGTGATACGGACTCAATTTTTAGTGACAGTAAGAGTGAAATATCTGGTGTTGAACCTATGGACGTTAGTGATTAAACGCAATAAATGTGCCTAATTTTACCCAAATACACAATTTTATTAGTAATAATAAATATTTTAAATATAGTTTTTTTTTTGCTGACGCTACTCTTCGAGTGATGTCATATCGCCAACGGAAAACGTTGCATTACGACCGCAAGATGTAATATAGCTTTACTTTTCGAGCACAGCGTTGCAAGCGATGCACAAAAGAGATGCGCTACTGTAGTTCAATTATCACTGCACAAGGTACACAAAGGCGAATTCAGTCATTAACTAGTAAAAGTCGAAATTGGAGTGCACGTATGCACCAAACTAAACTGTTCGTACTTTTACACGTCTGCGCAAGATTGATTCCACACGGCGACTGAGTTTTAATTAAATAATTAAATTCAAAAATTTTATTTTTTGTAAAATATCAGTACCATAGGCTTCTACTCCGTTCACATGTTACACCCTATTTTTTACAGACGATAAAAAGGTCATCCAGTATATTCAAACTGTTCTTCGATCGTAATTCTTTATTAGATACTATTTTTTTATCAAATACATAAAGTTATTATCATTATAATAACAATTTTCAATTTATTCCGCGTGTAATCGATTTAGACAAAATAAACTGTTTCCCTAAACAAACTTAGGAGCGAATATGAAGTGGTACATATCTATGAACTGAAAGCCAACTTCAGCCCGGTCAAGAAAGAATGCGCGGAACGTACCTACAATAAACAGATCTTTACTAATAGATGTTGCGTTTATTTAGTTGAGTTAGTATGTTGAAGAAACAAAACTTAACTGTAGATCCTTAATCTAAAATCTTTTATAATAATAAAAATGTATCTATATTGTCATCATCTGAGTGGCACATGTCCAGCTGTGGCCTTTTAGTTAAGTTAAAGTTACAGCCTATATACGTCCCACTGCTGGGCACAGACCTACCCTGATTTCTGAGGGTAAGGATGCGTATTGGCGAACTTCACATGTTTTCGAATTTTTTTTCTCAGACGTGCAGATTTCCTCACGATGTTTTCCTTCAACGCCGAGTACGTGGTAAATCAGCACTTAAGAGGATTGTTTTTTTTCTTCAAAATATGCTATCTGTTTCACATCGCTTGCTCGGTATCGCCTTCGTGCGATAGAGAGAGTTGCAAATGTTGGAAGTAAATGCCTACATTTTCTTTTTAAAATATTGTTTTTAGCGATAACGTTTTCATCTGTCAAAACCTTTACGAAATGAGACAATTTGGAGTTATTAGATTCAGTATACCTTAATTTAGGTCTGTAGGTTTTTCTTTTTTAGTGATTCAGTTTAGTTTAATTTAAAAAAATGCTCGAGAAAGCTTTTTAGTCAAAAATATAGATATTTAGATGCTAATAACTTATATCGTACGCAATATTTTCTTAAAATAGAAACGTACGGACCAAGTTTTAAATTATAACAACAACATTTCCAAAAATTATGAAAATTAGACTATACGGGAGGGAAAACGTTATCACTTTTTGTATGAAAATATACAGCTTCACAATTCTCTTAAAATTGCAATTAATAATTTCATTGATGTCGTCGGGGATCGAGCCCTGTTTGCTCGCGTACTGTGAAATTTACAGCGAGCGTTAACCATCGGAGCTACCACAGCTCTTGCCTGGCCTTTTATAGCTGATTAAAAATAAGAAGATTACCAATAATGCCAATATCAAGTCCACTTTTGAACGTTGGATTCCCCGACAGATTACCAGGGCTACCATATAAGACTGTCTTGAGCTCCTGAACTACCTGTATCTATATGCCACTCAGTTGTATTTTCATTTACGATTACTGTTTTTAGGCAAATACGAAGTTAAGTTACATTCTTATCTGAAATAAATTTGTGTGTGAATAAACTAGTCCGCACATAAATATTGACGCGTTTTCTTAGTCACAGCAAACAAAATCGGTGTTAGATTGTTGAAAAAAACGTTCGCGGTTTCCAAAACAAAGAACCGGGCGAGTTATCGCAGTCGATCAAAGGATTTACGGAGAATTGACCGTAGTATACATAGAAATTTTTGCTTCATCTGTCAGTGTTGAACTGGTACAAGGATGCCAATAGAGCCGAATATTAGATCACTTCACCAGCCAGTAAAATTTCGCGCTAGCGGCGCTTATTGCGTATATTTGATAAAAGCAGTATTGTAATAGATTCTACATCACTTTATGATAAATTTATGTATTATATAAATGTTAGGGCTTTGTTGTGCGATGGAGCCACTTCAGTCGCACCTGAACATATTGTGTGTGAGTACTAGAGGGTAAAGTTTGGGTTGTCATAGTGATAATGTAATAATAGCGCCATCTAACTACTGTCTGTCACGCTTAGTAGGCAGATTAAAGATTCAAGCACCAGACGAGTTTCACGAGCTCTCTGATCTCCGGTCTAGGCTATAAATGAAGTGTAAACAAGATAAAGCCATGTATAAAATCTGTGTGCCTAGAGCGAGCTCTACAAAATTATTCGAATAACTTCACCATCGCGTTAAACGAGTTAACGACATCGGTTTAGATAAGCGAAGACCCAAGCAGCACATAAGACAAGCGTTATGAACACCAATATACCAGCCCATATAGAACTTAGAGTTCTGTTAGAGGCGTATAAGAGTGTTGAAAACAGGTTGTATATTTATAAAAGTGGTTTATGAGTTATTATACAGCTCAAGCTGCATAAAGTCTGTATTATGGGATCTAAGTAAGCTTAGGGTTCTTAATCAGAATATGTAAGCTCTACTATACAACTTTAAGTATTTTGTAACACTTTAATCTGATTTCACCATTAAAGCTGTATAGAAGCTGTTTTTTGTGTTATAAATTCAAATATTACTTCTGAACAATGGTGCACGCAAACTCCCTTCTAAAACTTATTTATATATGGCGTAATTGTACACTCGTAAATACAGTAATTTTATAACTTCTGTCTATGAGAGTGATATAAAACTAAAAAAAAAACAGCTATAGTACAGAATAAATCTGTGTAAGTGATAGAATATCGCCATTTTGCTTGCGTAATTGCGTGTTTAATATATTGTGCTAGTGAACAAATTAATTTGTTGTCAATATGTGGAAAAAAAAGAAAAAGATTTGGTGCAGAAGAAGAATTAAAAAGGAATATTTAAATATTACAAAATATCGAAATAATAATGATAATGAAGATTTTAAAACTTTAATAAATAAGACAACCTATAGTTAAGCGTCAATCCTATCGTCGTCTAATAAAAAGGGTTCCATAGCAAAAATATTAAACATTGCTATCATAGTTGGTGTTACATATAACTGTAGTGTTTTGTCCTTTTCTCTCATCATCAATGTC